TGGGGGGGGGGGGGGGGGGGTTGGTCGCTTGCCAGTATGGGGATCCAAACCAACACTGTGCTCTAACCAACTGAGCTAACCAGCCAGCTCCACATTCATTTATATTATAATGGTGGTCAGAGCTTGGGGGATGTACAGCCAAATGGAATTTATAAGGCAGCCTTTATCTCCACTTATGATATATATATGTTTTAATCAAAGAGAACAAAAGGTTCTTTACTCCCTTGCTCTCTGTAGCAGGAGGCTTAGATTATCAACAAACAGGATAGTTTGCCCCAGAATAGTTCTGTGGCTGGTTGGAGCAGTGACTTGGCCTGATTTTTAAAGGATCATGAACTGGAACTGTGCAAGCCAAAGGGAGAGCATTTCCTCTCTCCACACTCCTCTCTATTAATAAAGTTTGTGTTGTCTATATGTGGCTTGTTAATGATGGGGGTGTTAACGACCACAGTTAATCTTCCTCCTCAACTCTTTCATAATCCAGTCTCTTAAATAGACATTTAAAAAGCTTTTAACTCCTCTAGAATTGGGTGCTCATGGGCTTTTGGTGGAGGTGGAGTGATAGTTATCAGACCATTTAACAAAACCTGAGACAGCCAGGACAGCTGTAATGTGCATCTCTCTGCTGTTTTTGTTAAAATGCCACATGGCTAATACTTTGGAAATCATAAATCCGGTACAAGAAAACATCTTTATAGTGGGTATTTTAGTTTTATGTTGTTTGTGTTACATACCTAAGACCATTATTACTTCAAGATCCATAAACGGCAAAGAACATAGATTCTGTAAATTTGGTTTATTTTTATCTGTTTTATTTTCTGCAATAAGACTCTATAGATGACGCCTTGAAGACAGTGCTGTAGCTGACAATTTGATCTTCACCTAAGCCACTAACTTTCCCAAGGGCCTTAGGGGAAAAATGGGAATTTTTCCAGCCTGGGCCAACTGAAGCCACTCATCAGTGGCATATTTAATTAATCAATATGATAGGGAGTTTTGCATGTTCCCTTCCCTTTCTCAGCTCTTTAGCCCTGACTTTCTTTCTGGAGGATTTTGCCTACTGAGTGGACTTATAGAATTTATATTAAAACTCTAACATGGTGCCGGCCTGGTGGCGTGCTGGAGAGTGCGCCACTTGGGAGCGCGGTGGCGCTCCCGCTGAGGGTTCGGATCCCATGTGGAGACCAGTTCCGCTCACTGGCTGAGTGCGGTGTGGGCGCAACACCGAGGGTTGCGATCCCGTTGCCGGTCCCCAGTACGGGCGCGACACCGAGGGTTGCAATCCCGTTACCAGTCAGTAAAAAAAAAAAGACAAAAAGGAAAAAAAAAAAAATCTCTAACATGAAGAGAGAGCTCATTAATTAAGTTTTGTTTTATTTTGTTGCAGTTGGCCAGTAGTGGGATCTGAACCTGTGACCTTGGTGTTGTAAGGCTAGCATTCTAACTAAATAAATTAACTGGCCAGCTAGATTAAGCATTTTGACATTTGGTCTGATTTCTGCTTCCAAGTAATTTGGTGGGTAGTTCCGTGAGGCAGCTTACCAATTAGTTTTTGTCTTTTTTTAAACAATAGAAAGAAAGCTTAGAGTAAAGATCTCGAATTGCATTAAAGGTACTTTGCTCTTAAGTGCAGATGAAAATAAAATATGCTATTACCAATATCTAAGAACAGCCGTCAGGACAGCTGGTGAAAAGTAGTGAACTGTAGAGACTAGAGGAGAGCCTGAACTGGGCAAGGCAGACAGACAGACAGATACCAGGGGCTCTGTGCAGGTGGTTTTGTGGTTCCGGGATTGACTAATGCTTTGGTCTTCTGAATCCCACATTTCTTGTAATGCCTCCTCTGTAATTGCTGGGGACTGACAATTTTTAAACTTTTTTCTTTTACCTGCATAATGTGTGAAAATTTTCCCCCTTTCTTCTTTCTGCTTTACCTCTTCACCTTGTCTTTTTTTTTTTTTTTTGTAGATTTATCTGTTAAACAAGTCCCCTGTCAGCAGCTTGGAATGTGGGTTCTTACTGTGCTTGACTACAAAGTTCTTTGATGTTTTTCCAAGGCTGACTTCTCACCAGATCCCTGATTTAGCTGTTTTCCCCAGTATTCAGAGACCTGTAGGGTAAATTTGCCTTGCATTGTTGATATGGAAGGTTGTTGGGGCCTGTTCTTTTCTTGTGTCCTTATGGTCTTTAGTTGCTGCCATCTATAGTTTGTCGATACCTTTATCAGAGAGTCCTATTTATATTCAAGAGACGGCTGAAAACTATTATGCCTGAAAGACTAGAAACTTAAGAAGCTGCTCACCCCTTCACATGGAGATTTCCACAAGGATAAGGTTGCGCTCAGAGGCTCATCCTCTCTTCCTCTGTCATGGTATCAGGATTCTGCCTTAATCACTCGATCATCCTGCCAGCCATGTCTCATTTCTCATACTGGAACACTCCCTCCTCCCAGGCTCAGTGTGAACCACCAGTCATGATGCTTTATCTGGTCCAGGCTCTAGCCCTTAAATTGTCCATCTGGCTTTGTGTTTCATTTGACCCTAATACACTGGGTCGCACTGTCTAAAAGAGAATTATGTCCCCTCCAATGTCTGAGTGCATTTCTCATTTCTTACTGCTGCTCCTGAGCAGATCTGTAACTTCAAGGTTAAGATAAGACACATTCCATCAGAACTGTGTCGTCATCCTTGCCAGCTTCTGATCTGCGACTGTCCAGGAGATTTACAAGACAATTGCATGCCATTCTTTAAAGAATATTATGGTTGGACTCCAACTCCTGGCATGAGGCCCAATTCGATTTGTCAGCTGTTATAAAACCCATTTCCCAAAGAGAAAGGGACCTCAGCCCATGTGCCCTTTAGGCAGTCCTTAAGGGTATGAAGGAGGGAATTGATATGAATCTTTATTTCCTGAAGTTTTAGCGGGAGAGGTGCACACCAGAATATTTTTGTTTCTTTCTATGAAAACTTTCACCAAAATGTTAGTTCTTTCCTGCCTTTTATTTTTTCACAGACTTACTATTAGTCTTTTCATTCTGCCATCTCCAGTGCTTTCCTGAGCTTTAAGGAGTAAGAATATGTTTTTTTTTTTTCCTTTTTGTCTTTTTTCGTGTCCGGCAACGGGATCGCAACCCTCGGTGCTGCGCCCGCACCTCGCTCAGCCAGTGAGTGGGAACCGGTCTGTATGTGGGATCCGAACCCTCGACGAGAGCGCCGCCGCGCTCTCAAGTGGCGCACTGTAGCAGTGCGCCACCGGCCGGCCCCAGAATATGTATATTTTTACCCTTGAGAGAGAACATACCTACCCTGTTCTCTGAAGGTTTATTAGTTTTCTAGCACCTACTTAACAAAGATACTGTTCCTCCTTGCTGTCTACTAACATATTGAGCTGGAGGCATTACTGCATGTGATATGGTTTACCAGCTTAGGAATTTGGAAGGTCACATATTTCTTTCTGCAGTTGTATTTGGCCCTAACATATTTTTACATAAGGTTCTCTTTGGAGGACTTAATAGCTCTTTCATTTCAACATAAACTCACTTCTTTCCTAGGAAATAGGCAATGAGAATTTATTTGGCCTGTTTTAATGATTCCGGGATTAAATCTAAAATTTACTCAAGTTCACACATGGCAAGTTAATCACAAAATCAGGACCCTGTTTTAATTTCTTTGGCATTGTTTTCATATCTCTTAATTATGAAAAGTTTAAACAAAAAAATAAAGGTAAGAGTTGAAAAGAGTTTTACTCAGGTTTCCTGAGAGGTCCATTCAAATTTGAGGAAATCCCCAGTAATTAAAACATTTCTACTTTGCTTTCATATGGTTTCTTTTGATTGACAATCAAAGTAGTAACCATTCTCTGCTTTTTCTTCAGTCCTGTTCTTTGCTTTTGATTGTCCCTTTTTCCTTTTCTATGGCAGCAACCTCTGGCTCCAAAGTTCCCATATCTGTAAAGCAGAGTAGGGTTTTGGAGCTCTCCAAAATGTTCTTTAGAGCCAGGAAAAAGAAAAATTTATGGAACTTCAAGTCTCTAAGTATTTCTTTATCTCGATCCTCCTTTTCCTAAGTATTAGGGATTATTGATATATAGGGAGTTGTGTATTAATAACATATCAGGTAGGTATTATTGAGAAATTATTAAGGAATCTGTTTGTTTCCTAACATAACATTACAGGAACTAATGAGAAGAAATGATTTTAATTTAACAGAAATGACTGTGGCCGAACTGCTCTCCCCTTTTTTAAAATTTTTTTTAATTAAGGCATTAAATTTTTTTTTCCACCTATAATTTCATTTGAAAGGTTCTTTTAGTAGTCCTTCAAGCCTCTGGATTCTATTTCTGTATCTAGTAATCCTCAGAAAGAAGGAAAGTTGTATCTTTAAAATATGCCCCCTCCTCCCTTTCCTGTTATTCCCCACCGCCTCAAGCAATTTTAATTAACTGTTCACTGACAGATGGTAGAAAAGGCCTTGTCCAAAGTGCACTGGTGGGCTGGATTAGGGGATGGGAGGTTTGTACAGCTCCTGTTGTAGAAGGACATAGCCTTTCCCCTCCCCCTCCGAGTTAAGCTGTAATCTTGTTAGATCTTAAAATGCTGTTTATTAATTCAGAGTGCTCTTAGAGGAATAAGCATAAATTCTGGATTTGAAAAGCAAGAACCAATTCCCTTGAGCTCTGCATGCCTTAGCCTTGAGGCCAAGGGAGGTACCTTCCAGCTTCTCCACCCAGTCTTCACTGAAAAGGAAAGTTAAGCCTTTTAACTTTTCCATTTGCCTCTCCCCCTTAGTCTAGTACTGCTGCCAGTTGCCATGGCAACGGACTGGGACAGCTGCGCAGTGGCGCCCAGGCAGCTGGGTGGGGGCGGGGGAGCTGCCAGCCCGCCAAGCCCCAGACCTGGGAGGGGAGGCCCCTCCTGTTAGCCCAGAGGGAAAGAAAGAACTGGGGCGATCCGGTAGGTAAAGGAGGGAACCCCCATTCATCTTCTACCTTTGGGGCTCCTCTTCTGCATGAAGTAAGGGAGATTTTCCTCTTTCCTCAAACTGAAGAACACATATGTAAATCCTGTTTTTACTGGTGAGGCAGGGGAGGCCATAGCCACAATGCTTAACTGCATGCATCTAACATGGGGCTGGTTTTAACCCCAGCGCTCTGACCTAAACTGCTCAGCTCCCGGAAATTCCAAGGTGAGTGGGGGTGGGGGTGGGGTACTCTCCCTGGAATATGACATTTCCTGTCTCTGGTGAGGTTGGAGGCTGTTTTTATTTTAAATAAACCAAATCAGATATATTTTCTTGAAGCTTAGGATTCTCTTCTAAATAAATGGAAAAATTATCTTAAAACCCCCTACCTACGCTCTGTTCTTCCACTACTCTGTCTTTCAAATAAAGTATGTTAATGAAAATGTGGTTTTATTATAGGGCAATAATGAGTACAGGCAATTTTATAGGTGTTCAGACCTATGGCTAGTAAGTTTTGGAGATATGGTTTCCAACTATGTATTCTTGTAATAATTTCTTAAATTTTGCTAGTTTTAAATGAATTGATAAGTGTGACTTTTTATCCTACTTGACTTAAACATAATTCTGAAATTAGTAGTGGCTCTCCCTATTTCTGGGAGTGGTTTTCTGGTCAGGATGGAAATATTTTACAGTGCTGAAAAACATCTTTAGAGAGCACAGCGAAATAAAAATGGAGTTCAGCTAAGAAAACAATTCCTACTACTCTATAATCCAGACTGTAGGCACCATTTGGCATGGTTAAGGAAGAATTCTTAAAAATGATTATGGTAACAACAACGTGGGAGTTTAAAAAACTAGATTCTCTCTTGAGTAGCCCCTGATGTGCATATTTCTGAGCTTAACTCAATTTCCATTTGTGTTGCCTTGCTTCAGTTTTCCTTGGGCCTATGAATGGTTCCTCTGTGTTTTGAGGTGGCTTCATGTTGATGCTGAGTCTGGGGCCAGACTTGTTTTTCCTCCTCCTCTTCCTTTGGCCCAAAGTCAACTCTAGTTAAGGAGAGGTACCTCCTTAACTATTTGGGTTGGTTGAACTTAGGGAATTACTGAACAATCCAGTGACTAATTTTGAATTTTAGAACTGAAAAACTTTTTCTCCTTCCTGCCTCCCTATCATCCCCAAATGAGCATGTTAAAAAGGAAGCTTAGTGTGCTTGAAATATCAGCCTTGCTTTTGTGAGCTGATGGATTCTCTGAAGGGAAAAGCTCAATTTGTTTAAGGGAAATGTACCGAGTCACTGAAAATGTGGTGAAAGATGCCTGAGCAGGCCTTTTTTGTGCTGCTAAGAGACTGGTCAAGATGCTCAGGGCAGAGAAAAGTTACATTTTGGTTGGTGGCTTTTCTTTTTTCATTTTTATAAAGAACCTTATTTACCTTGGAAAAAAGGTTTTAATTCTATCCTGGTTCATCTAACTGTAGGTTTTCCACATTTCTCTTTCAGTTTCTGGCTTGTAAACAGTTCCAAAGTAGCCAGGAGTAACATACCACCCTACTTGGCTTTTGGAATCTGAAATTGGAGGAGTTAGACAATTGCGCCGTCTAATAATTTTGGTCTGTTTAGCTGAAGAGAAGGTTATAGTTGGGTTTGTGAGGATTGACCCATTTTTTTGTTATTGTTGGCTGCTGGTAAATACAGGGATCTGAACTCTTGACCTTGGAACACCAACACTGCACTCTAACTAAGTGAGCTAACACGCTAACCCCAATTTTTTAATTAAGTTCTTAGGACTCGTCTATAGAAGGATTTGAGACCCACAAGACAAGGGTATATGGCAACTTTGTATTATAGCCCCTCCATCCCATCAAGAAGATATGGAAAGTTTTTAACTCCTCACATGGATTCTAACCATTTTGTCCTTTCTCTTTGCAGGAACCTGGTGGCCTTAGTCCTTCAGGTGGAGCAGTGTGCGACATGGGAAAGAAAACCAAGCGGACAGCTGACAGTTCTTCTTCAGAGGATGAGGAGGAGTACGTTGTGGAGAAGGTGCTAGACAGGCGTGTGGTTAAGGGGCAGGTGGAATATCTTCTGAAGTGGAAAGGCTTTTCTGAGTAAGTGCCTTTTTTCAGGCTTTAGGACCCTGCAGAGGTAGACACCTTTGGTTTGTTTCCCCATGAATCACAGCCATCTTTATTGTCTTTTTCTTTCCCCCATCTGTATACTTGTCCTAAGAGTCAGAAGACACAGCAGTAAACTAGAAAAAGTCTCCCCCGACATGGGGCTGATGTTCTAAACATACTACTTTTGAGAGGCAGTATAATGAATTGCTTAGGAGCAGATTGGGGAGCTGTTTCACCTGGGTCCAGATTCTTGCTCCACCACTTATGATATAAGCTGGATGGCCTTGGCTAATTTCCTTAGTCTTTTTTTTCTCTAAGGTAAAATTGGGATAAGAAATAGTACTTACCATAGGGTTGGGTGGAGGTACAGAGCCTGACACATAACTCATTTTAAGTATAAACTGTTACTGTTTTGGATACAATTAAGCTAAAATGTATACATTTAAGCAAAGAAAAAAAAGTTGATCACACAGCCCATAGTTCTCCAAAACTGGATCTCAGAAGTATGCCAAAGTGAAGTACCTATCTTAGTGAGAGACTGAGGCCACATTTGTCTTCCAACATTTTATTTTTAAAAATTTCAAACATAGAGCTAAGGTGAAAAAATTTTAGTGTGAATGCCCAAATACACACCACCTAGTTTTTATAATTAACAATTTTTTTTTTTTTTTTTTAAAGATGACCGGTAAGGGGATTTTAACCCTTGACTTGGTGTTGTCAGCACCACGCTCACCCAGTGAGCAAACCGGCCATTCCTATATAGGATCCGAACCCGTGGCCTTGGTGTTGTCAGCACCGCACTCTCCCGAGTAAGCCACGGGACCGGCCTGAACATAAATCTTTTTGATAGGTATTACCAAATTACCCTCCAAAGAGGGTGTACCAAATACAATCCCACCAGTAATATATGACAGTACTATTTTCCCATAACTCATTGTGTATTATATCAACTTTTTTTTTTTTTTTTAAAGATGACCGGTAAGGGGATCTTAACTCTTGACTTGGTGTTGTCAGCACCACGCTCACCCAGTGAGATTATCAGTACTACACTCTCCCGAGTGAGCCACGGGCCGGCCCTATAATTAACATTTTGCCCTATAATTAGTATTTTAATATACGTCCATCTATCCCTTTAAGTTAGTGAGCTATAAGGACGATATTGGTATTGACTTAAATCTCAGTTAAGCAGTAACTAATTTTTATGCTGAAATGCTAAAGTAGATTATTCTTTTCTTTGGAACAAATAGGAAAAGGCACATATTGAAGCACAGAAGTAGTAGCTTGATGTGAAATACTAGGCTTTGTAATCAAAAAATGGATTTCTCAGAACCCAGTGAGCTAAGCTTCTCAGAGCAGTGCTACCCAATAGAAGTATAATGATATACTTTTAAATTTTCTAGTGGTCACATTAAAAAAGTGAAATTAATTTTAATAATATATCTCAAATACTATTTCAACATTAATCAATATAAAAATTATTAACATGATATTTTACATTTTTTTTGTGCTACAACTTCAAAATCTGGGGTATATTTTACATCTTATAGTACATGTCAGTTCAGACTAGCCACATTTCAGTGCTCAGTAGGCACTTAATGGATAGTGGTTACCATACTGGACATCACAGCTTTAAAGTGTTGGGCCTAAATATACTAAAAGATCCAATGTTTTGCCAATATCTTTGGATAAAGGTATGAGTCTAGAGCCTTCAGAACATACCAAAGGTTATTTCATTGCATAAATCAAGGTTTTTCGTCTGGAGCACTGTTGACATTTTAAGTGGGACAATTTATGCGTTGCAGGGGGCTTAGCATCCTTAGCACCCAGAGTGCTAAATGTAGGTAGCAAAACAATCAGAAAATGCCCTCCACAAATTAAAAAAATAAGAAAATGCCCTCCATATTCCTAAAAAGGAGTGGTATCACAATTTCCACTAGAGATGAGAACCATTGAGTTTGAGAGACCTAGAGCACTATAAGATAGGAATTAAAATAACACCTAAAGATTTTGAGAGTGTTTATTGGGCCCATTGAATTACCACTGGAAGTACTTGGGTGTTTGAAAAGTACTTGAAATTAATTCTCTCTGAGCTACTGGTGCCTTACCATAGATAAAAAGGGGAAAGACAAGGTTTGGGGTAGACAGACTAAGCATTTGTCCATACTTTGTTAGGATTTCTTAAAAGAATGGAACAAATTTTTCCCCCACTCAGCATTGTCTACAACTAAGTACCTACTATGCACTAGGCAGTGGTCAGAATCTACCTGCGTTCTCTTTTTTATTTTTTATTTTTTTAAAAAGATGACCGGTAAGGGGATCTTAACCCTTGACTTGGTGTTGTCAGCACCACGCTCACCCAGTGAGCGAACCGGCCAGTGATCCGAACCCGTGGCCTTGGTGTTATCAGCACCGCACTCTACCGAGTGAGCCATGGGCCGGCCCATACGCTCTCTTTTAAAAAAAAAAGATGACTAGTAAGGAGATCTTAATCCTTGACTTGGTGTTCTCAGCACCACACTCGCCCAAGTGAGCCACGGGTTGGCCCTTTCCTGTGTTCTCTTTAATTCTCATAAAAGCCTTTAGAGGTATTTTCTGTTTACAGATGAGGAAGCTAGTGAAGTTATTTGCTGAAGATCATGTAACTTTTAACTGCTGGAATAAGGACCCAGCATTAGATTTCTTTAGCCCTAAAACCCAGGCTCTTTTAAAATTATACCAGGCTGTCTTTTGGGGAAAAATTGGTTGAAATAGAAAGAGCAGTACCAAAGTGGTAGGAAAAGGGATAGTTCCATTACAGGACTGGCTTTCCTCACTATTGACAGAGACTCTCCCCTTCCCCCAAGTCTACTTGCTTGTGTTATAGTGTTGGCACAGATCTTGATTTGGGTGCCTTAATTTCCTCTGGGATAGTAAATTATGGTTTGTGTGTAGGAATTTTTTTCCGTGGAGAGAAGGGATATAAAGGAGATACTTTGCCCGTTATCTCGGTTGGTTAGAGCAGGGTTCGATTCCCGTTACCGGTCAGCTGTCAAAAGAAAAAAAGAGAGACTTTTCCTTTCCAGTCTTAGCTCAAATAATTTAGAAATAAATTTTATCTCATTCTTAAGCTCCTTTTGTAGAAAGTTGTTTAGGTCTAGAGTAAATAGCTTAGATTTTTCCATCATTCTGCTTCCTATTTGAATCAGGTTATTACGGTGTGTTTTTAAACCATTCCCATCTAAAGATGCCTTGCTTAAAAAACAATAACATGTAAAATGGGTAGTGCATAAATTAAAAAAAATTTTCCCAAGTTAACTGAGAGATTGTGGAAGCTGCTTCTATGATACATTTACAGATGTAACTTAATATAAATTAGTCCTTACTATATATAACCAGAAGAACATCTGCCACTGGCTAAAGGTAAAGAGAATACATGGTCTAGTTTTTCCTATGTACGTACATTTCTTGCTTTGATTCCATAAACTTATGATGTAGTTGGTGGTTTTCGTTTTCTAAAACCCATGCCAGGAATCCAGAGAACAATTTTTTTTTTTTTTTTTTTTGGCACTGGCCAGTATGGGGATCTAAACCCTTGACCTTAGTGCTACAACGCTCTGTTTCTAACCAGCTGAGCTAATTGGCCAGCCCTAGAGAACAACTTTGAGAATACTATTTATTTTCCTGGTAATAGGACTCCTTTGATCCAAGTTTAGTTAGACACATTACAGTCATGTGCCATACAATGACATTTCGGTGGATGGACCACATATATGAGGGTACTTCAAAAAGTTCATGGAAAGATTCATATTATCTTTTCTTGTGTGGCGGCTGTACGGTGAGAGGATCTGAACCCTTGAACTTGGTGTTACTACACCATGCTGTAACCAAATGAGCTAACCAGTCAGCATCTTCATATTATCTTTTTTTTTTTTTTTAAAGATGACCCGTAAGGGGATCTTAACCCTTGACTTGGTGTTGTCAGCACCACGCCATCTTCATATTATCTTTTTTTTTTTTTTTAAAGATGACCCGTAAGGGGATCTTAACCCTTGACTTGGTGTTGTCAGCACCACGCTCAGCCAGTGAGCAAACCGGTCATCCCTATATGGGATCCGAACCTGGGGCCTTGGTGTTATCAGCACCACACTCTCCCGAGTGAGCCACGGGCCGGCCCTTCATATTATCTTTTAATTCTAATTTTCCACAAATTTTTTGAAATACCCTTATATGGTGGTGGTCCTGTAAGATTATAATGGCTATACCATATAACCTAGCAGTGCTGTTCAATAGAAGTATAATGATATGGTTTTATTTATTTATATATTTATACATTTATTTATTTGTGTGTTTATTTATTTGTTTATTTTTAAAAAGATGACTGATAAGGGGATCTTAACCCTTGACTTGGTGTTGTCAGCCCCATGCTCTCCCAAGTGAGCCAACCGGCCATCCCTATATAGGGTTCTGAACCCATGGCCCTGGTGTTATTAGCACCACTCTCTCCCATGTGAGCCACAGGCTGGCCCTATAATAATATGATTTAAAATTTTCTAGTGGCTACGTTAAAGAAAAGTGAAGTATTTTTTTTTTTTTTTAAAGATGACCGGTAAGGGGATCTTAACCCTTGACTTGGTGTTGTCAGCACCACGCTCAGCCAGTGAGCAAACCGGTCATCCCTATATGGGATCCGAACCTGGGGCCTTGGTGTTATCAGCACCACACTCTCCCGAGTGAGCCATGGGCCGGCCCTAAAGAGGAAAATTTAAACGATGACTCTCTACTTCAGTGGGTAAATACATTTCTCAAACAGGAAATACTCTGTAATGAAGGGGGAAAAAAATCGAACATGGAAAGCTATAAATTGCTTTATAAAAAATTCACATGCAAGAAAATTTCAATTTAGTCTAAAATTTAACATAACTGACAAATTAATTATGCTATGTCAAGTGAAGAGTACATAAATATCAAGTATATGTAACCCTATAGGTACCAACAGCATCATTCAGTGTTACTCAATGTAAAAATTACTAATGAGATATTTTACATTTTTTTTCATGCTCAGACTTCAGAATCTGGGGTATATTTTACATCTTATAAGTGTGTAGTGGACTAGGCCATGTAGGTTTGTGTAAGTATACTCTGTGATGTTCACACAATGATGAAATTGCCTAATGATACATTTTTCATAACACTTTCTCATCCCTACGTGGTACAAGACTACAATTAGTTATTTTGTTTATTAATATAAAAATGGGGCTGGCTGGTTATCTCAGTTGGTTAGAGCACAGTGTTGTAACACCAAGGCCAAGGGTTCATATCCCTGAACTGGCCATCCGCACCCCCACAAAAAAAAGTTTTAAAATATATATTTCGACTACCCAATAACAGTAGACTTGAGTCCAGAGCACTTGAAATAATTCACTCCAAATTGCACTTCTTTTTTTTTTCTCCTCCTCAGCTATCTGAGCCCAGATTGAACTTCTGAGTTGTCGTCATCTGTTTGCCTTTATTGTTATTATTTAAGACCATATTGCCTTTTTTTCTAAATAGCTATTTCCAGTCCTCCAAGATTTGCTGGCATTTTTTCAAGATATGAGTTAACATATTTAAGACAATGTAAACTGGGGGTGCATGATTTTATTAGGTTGTCCCCTTTTCAGGAGTTGCACAGATGATTATATGTAATCCCACTATTTTGCCACTTATAAAGCAGAATTCAAATTTGGATAAAAAAACAAAAATAAAATTCACCCATCGAAATTGTACAATTCAATGATTTTTAGTAAATATTTTATAGAGTTGTACAACCATCACCACACTCCGCTTTTACAACATTTCCATAGCCCCCCAAAATTCCCTTGAACCCAGTTGTAGTTAATCTCAACTCCCACCCTCAGCCCCAGGCAACCACCAATCTACTTTCTGTCTGTCTAAATTTGTCTTTCCTAGACATTTCATATAAATGGAATCATCTTGTGTTGTGTAATCTCTTGTGTTTGGTTTCTTTCACTTAGTATAATGACTTAGAGGTTCTTCCAAGTTGTAGCATGTATTTATTAGTATTTTGTTTCTTTTTGCTGCTGAATCGTATTTCATTGTATGGATATACCACAATTTGTTTATCCATTCATCAGTTCATGGTGATTTTAATTTGTTTTCTGTTTTGGGCTGTTAAAATGCTGCTTTAAATAATTGTGCACAAGTCTTTGTATAGACGTATTTTATTTTATTTTATTATTATTATTTTTTCCCCCTTTTTGTCTTTTTTCATGACCGGCAACGGGATCGCAACCCACGGTGTCGTGCCCCATGGTGTTGTGCCCACACCGCGCTCAACCAGTGAGCGGGCCAGTCTCTATATGGGATCCGAACCCTTGGCGGGAGCACCGCCACACTCCCAAGCGCCACACTCTACCGAGTGAGCCACCGGGCTGGCCCAAGACGTATTTTATTATTTCTCTTGGATAGAAATCTAGGATCAAATTTGTTATCTCCTTTAAGTATAGGGGTTCTGTCCTTTTTGCCTAGCTGTCCTATTTTTAAAAGGCATTGGATTTTTCCTCATTCTTTTTTCCCTCTTTTTCCATTTTTTTGCCCAGGGAGCACAATACTTGGGAACCTGAGAAAAACTTGGATTGCCCTGAGCTAATTTCTGAGTTTATGAAAAAGTATAAGAAGATGAAGGAGGGTGAAAATAACAAACCCAGGGAGAAGTCAGAAAGTAACAAGAGAAAATCAAATTTCTCCAACAGTGCTGATGATATCAAGTCCAAAAAAAAGAGAGAGGTAAGCTTCCTTTCCTTTTTTCCCCACAAACTGTTTTTTTTGCAGTTCTCCCCCTCCCCCCAAAAAAGCACCTTGTTTTGGTTATTTTTTTTCTAAGGAGGGACCTGCAAGGGTAAATTGTTGAACAGAAGAGCTTCCATGGAGGTATGTTGATTAATTACAGCGCCCCCTCCTGGCTGAGTGAGAAATGTAATTTGTGACCACTAAATTGTATTAAGGTGGCAAAATTAAATCTCTGTAGAACATTAAACCACTCTCTGCCTTTCCATAAATAGAAGACTTAGTTGTCTTAGAGAGGGAGGAGGATCTTTGGTAAATTTTGTAAGGATGGAAAGAGGCTTTGAAATGTTTACCACTTCACTTCCTTTTTTCTTTCTTTCCAATAATAACACTTATTTTCAACCCTTCTCTCCCTTTTTGTTTAAATTGAGGTGAAATTCACATAATATACAATTAGCCATTTTAAAGCGAATAGTTCAATGTCATTTATATTCTCTCTTGATCCTAATAATTTCTACATACTTCAAATAAGTAGTTTTCATATTCATTTTGAATCTTTCTATTCAGTTTGAGAAGTGTATTTATGAAATTTTTGTTTGATTCAGTTGCTTTAATCCTTCTGATCTTTAGCTCTCAAGTAACTCGCATAAACACTGTTAGTGCCCCTCCTTTTCCCCCTATATTCCCTGCCTCTCTCTTTTTTATCTATATCTTTTCCATTTGCACGTGTACACACAAACACATACACCCCATCTCACCCCCCAGTTTCCACTTTCATTTATTTCAAGGTTATGAAGCTTTCTGTGGTGAGCGATGTATCATACACTTAAAGTTTAATAAAATAAAAGGATAAGTCCACTTCTGAATCTTCTAGCATCACTGCCACAAGCATCCTATTTATTTTCATTCTTGGATCCCATCTTTCTAGAGCATTAGTTCTCAACCCTGGCTGCACATTAGGATCACCTGGTCTCCAGTGCCCAAGATATACCCCAGACCAGTTAAATTAGAATTTCTGTGGGTTGGGCCCAGGCATCAGTGTTTTATAAAGGCTTACACAAGTGATTTCTGGTCTCTATAGGAGAGAAAATGGGAGACCAACCTTCCAATAAGAATTGAAATGAGAGTGAAAGATTGGAGGCTGCAGGTGAAAGTGGACCCTTAATTTGTGTCTGTCTCTTTGTTTCTGTGCTTAATTCTGGTTTTCGCAACCTAATTTAAAAACTGCTTTATTCTGATGAGGTCTGTATATCATTATGATATACTGTACTGATAAAGGATTTGAGAATGCTTTCCTTCTTTTAAGCAGCTAAGACTAGATTTTTTCTTTTTCTTTTAAAAAAATTTTTAGTAGGTCTTTGTATTCTGGCTTTTGTCATTTGATTCATTTTCTAGCTAAGAGAGCAAAAACAATGCAGCATAAGACTTCTGACTATCCATTTGTGACCAAGTGTGTATTTCTTCCACCTAGGGTTTCTGTCCTTTTAGAACAATCTGAGGAATCTGGCTTTGAGCCACTGGCCATTGCAGAGTTTCATTCCTGGGCCAGGTTCTAAAGCTGCCGACCTTGAAAACAACCCCCACATGTCCCTTACATCATAATGTTCATCTGGGGCCCCAATAGCATTCTCAGCAGTACTAGTGGCTGTCAGGTAGGCAGCTGGGAAGATAGGTGATTGTATGTTTTAAATGTGCAGGAGGGGATTACATTTCTTTCTTTAGACCACTGCAGAAGAAATTTGTTAGTCGGCATTATGCCTGATTTTACTGCCTGTGTGATGATTTTTAGCATTTTCCTTGCCTCGGCTCCTTTTCAGCAGCTTGAACATTTTTCTTCCATCATCCCTCTTCCCTCCCTATGTGGCAAACTGTTTTCAGCTGCCAGCTATGATTTACGACTAAGTCCATGCACTAGAATTCCAGCTGTGAGCAGCTGTGTGCACATCTGGGAACCTCTTCTTCTTAAGCACCCCCAAAAGATATGCTATGTTTTTAAAAGTCAGTATCTCTCCTTGATTCATGCATGGAATTTCCTTCCTATTGTGGGTTCTGGTATCTTTGGGGACAACCTGGACCCTAACTGCTTTATCTCTCTCAGAGGAAAGCAAGCTGAATATCAGATCAAAGAGATCTTATTACGAAAATCAGACATCAGAAATCTAGTTCATTTGGACAGTCTTTCTAAATATTTTTTTGTGTTACTGCAAAATAAGCTTGCATTATTTTCCATAATAACATTTTTTTTCTTTTTTTTTTCCCCAAAAGATGACTGGTAAGGGGATCTTAACCCTTGACTTGGTGTTGTCAGCACCACACTCTCCCAAGTGAGCTGAGCCGGCCATCCCTATATAGGGATCTGAACCCGTGGCCTTGGTGTTATCAGCACCGCACTCTCCCAAGTGAGCCATGGGACGGCCCTTGGTTTTGGGTTTTTTTAAAATCACAGTCTAGCTCTGCCTTTTAAAGCTAACAACTCATCTACATTGGGAGGGGATAAGCACAGCCCAGGGCCTCTTCTCCAATCCAAGTGCATGAGTATTGGTTTTTGTGATCTCTGAAATGTGCTGTTTTATAGTATTAGCCTTGCATTATTCTTACCTCTTTTCTTTCATAAATATAGATGACTGTGTGAAAAGATGTATTAAAATTATTGGTCAGTGTTAAGGTAAGCTAAAAGTCTAAAAAAATAAAGATTGAGAGAGGTGGTATATTTGAAGTTTATAAAATGAAAAAGGGTTTAGTTAGGGTAAAAATGGACTTGTTTATCATCTCAGAAGCTACAATTTAGGGGTAGTCATTATTAAGGAGATTCAGGTTGAGTGAGATCAGAGGAATTCCTAGATGATGATTTTGGAATATTTTATGAGATATTAAAGACTTTTAAGAATCACTTCTAGTCTTTTGAAGTAATACCAGGAAGGGCAACCACGTCATCTTGCAAGAATATCTCTTAGCATTACTGTCCCTGGCTGGCCTGGTATTGCATTTCTTAAGTTCTAAGAATTTTTCGGAATTGGTGACGGAAATGGTATCAGATGATACTAACTTAGGTTCTACCTTATTGACCTGAGAAACAGGGAGTTTTTTTTTTCTCTTCAAACTGTAACCTTTCTTCATCTTCTGTTTATAGCAGAGCAATGATATCGCTCGGGGCTTTGAGAGAGGACTGGAACCAGAAAAGATCATTGGGGCGACAGATTCCTGTGGTGATTTGATGTTCCTAATGAAATGGTGAGAGAGATTGAATCTCACTTTAGAGTTGTGTTTCTTTGCCAGTAACTCAAATTCGTATGGAAGATAGGGTGGCAAGACTGAGTATGCCCAAACTAAGAATTTGGAATGTCAGGGATCCTTAACCAATACCAGTTGTCAGTATTAAATAGGAATTATGGTTCAGAATGGAATTAATTCTCAAGCTTTGGTATTAAGCCAAATTATAGTAGTCCACATATCAGAAAAAGATAAACTTAAGGTAGGAAACAGAAATACATGACCTAACTATTTGTTTACATGGTTCTGAATCATTTACTGTTACAAGCATGAACCTGTGACCATGGGTTAGGAATTGAGGCTTTCTACCATCACTGAGGGCCAAGACCACTGAATGTTGAAAAAAGAAAAATAATCTCAGCAAAAAGCTTTAGCCTAATACTGGCCAAAGCACAAGTTATTTCATCCAATAGAGAGAGTGGCTCGTAGAGGAAATCGAAGTACTTCCCCTCAATTTGTTTCTTAAAGACAGCGTGATTTATGGTGTGGCTATTGCTACCTGTCTGTTTCCAAGTGTTCTGGGCTTTTGATACATAGATAGTTCGAGCTACAGTGCCACTAAGGAATCTAATTACCCTAAAATTTGTGTAATCAAAAGGTTTAATGTTTTATCTGATTAGAATGCTGCTGGTAAATTACTCAGAAGCATATATTTGAAAAGTCCCTCTACTCTGTCTGCAGTAAGGAGCTGTATTGGATGCTTTTTCCTGCTCAGCCATATGTGTTACTTGTGATTTATATTCACATATTAACTTGCTTTTTCCACCATAGTCAAAATTTGAGTATCTGCTCTAAACTGTGTGTTTTCCCTTTCCTCTTCTCATCCATAATACTTACCTCTATGAATTAAACATCTCAGTTTTCTAGAAAAAGAGGTAGTTATCTTTGTCCACATCTCAGGAAGATTTAAATTTATTTATTTATTTTTTAAAATTTGGAATCATGGTTAAGGAACCATGTTGTTAGATTTTTTTTGATACACTTGGTCGTGCAGGCTGTGTAACTTGGATAATTGAGATTTGCAACTAAATTTCTGTTTTCTTTCAACCTGAGAGAACCTGATTGTTTCGTTTTCTTATTGTTCCAATCCACAGTTCTGACCAAAGGGGTAATGAGTATTTAAAAGTCCACAAGATGAGGATGGTTAAGACCCCTTCACTTAGATGATCCAGAAATTGGATTGATCAACTTATGCATAATCAGTAGAGCAGAATATAGGTTTGATTGTATTCACTTACATGCTCATACACACAAATAAAAATTATGGAAGCAGAATTAATTATTATTATTATTATTTTAAAAGATGACCAGTAAAGGGATCTTAACCCTTGGCTTGGTGTTGTCAGCACCACACTCAGCCAGTGAGTTAACCAGTCATATAGGATCTGAACCCGTGGCTTTGGTGTTATCAGCACTGTACTCTCCCGAGTGAGCCACGGCCGGCCCTAGAATTAATTTATTATGCAAACTTTTTGACTGACCGTACCATGTTTTACATCTAAATTTTAGCTGAAGACTTCTGTTTCTGATATAGTAATTAAATGATGTTCACTCATAATTTATGTGCTTAAATTTCTCCTTGCAAATATTGAATTGTTAGGGTCCTCTTCACTTTGCAAGCAAGGTGAGGAGGAAATCAAGTCACTTAAATCCATATAATGACACAAACCTATGTTTGGACAGAGTCTCTCACTCTTACTTCCTCTCCTTCTAATTCTCATATTTTATCTCCCCAGGAAAGACACAGATGAAGCAGACCTGGTTCTTGCAAAAGAAGCTAATGTGAAATGTCCACAAATTGTGATAGCATTTTATGAAGAGAGACTGACGTGGCATGCATATCCTGAGGATGCGGAAAACAAAGAAAAAGAAACAGCAAAGAGCTAAAGGATGGGGTGGTCTCTGTCATTTCTCTTTGTACATAATACATTCACCTCCCTGCCTCCTTTCCCTTCTACCCACCCTCTTCTATCCTAAACACATCCATAAAAAATGTGCTTATCACTGTGCTCCACAGGAGAAATGTTGGTATTGGTTCTCTTGTAACATAACTGATAGTCTGATTCATGATAAGTGTCTCTCTGTGAAGACCAGGCATTTACATACTGTGTGTAATTCCCACAGTTTTTTCCTTTACACTGATCTCTTCCTTCTGCTCCCCTGTGACCTCAAGATGAGTTTTAACTTTTAAATTACCTTAGAGTCTTGATCTTTTCAGGGTTGTTTGCTTTTTAGATTGGGGGATTTTGTTACAATGGTGGTGAATTTTGGTTTCTTGCTTTGGTTCTTAGAACATGTTGATGACCAGCTGGCCCTTCTTTTGACATGTGGGATAGAAAGGATGTTGCCCATCTTTTAAAAATCTAATAGCAACTGCCTACATGTTGAGGCTTCCCCACCCTTATTCAGCTTTGCCCTGTAGAATACAGGGTTTCTAATGTGGTCTTCTGGGCCACCCTCAGTTGTTCATCCTCACCCACCATCTCAGAATAACTCTGTCCTTTGGAGGACTTGAGATTTTACGTTGGAATTTGTCAAGGCTCTCCTTTTAGCCCCAGGGCTTTTGGCCTTAGTAATCGCTAATTCTGCTTCTGCAAGGTGGTGTCCATTTGTCATAGAATGACAAGATTCTTAACTGTGGAGATTTTTATCTATAGTACATGAGGATGATGGGGTAGGGGTAGGATACAGTTATCTTTATTATCACATATGGTATGTATGTATTATTTCCTACCATCCCTCATATTTAGACTATACATTTATGTAGGTATGAATGATTGCCTGGTGCTTGCTTGTGCCAAGGTGCTAGGCACCCTCCAACCCTGCCAATTTTTGTGGCCTCCCAAAGCATTCCTGTTACCAAAGAGGCTTCAAACTTGACCCTCACTTCTTAGTGGACCTGAGTTTCCCTTCCATGCCATTATTTTCAGTGGGGAATTCTTGGAGGGGAGCCATTGACCATAATCAATTTAAAATATTCATAGCAGTTATAGTCATAAGTTTTTTGCTTTCTTGACTCCTGGATTTGCCACCAGGAGTCCTCAAAGTATTATGCTCTTCCTTTTTTCTACCCTCAAACTTTCAGTTGTTTCTTATTTTTAAAATGAATTTCCATAGAAGGCTTACCACCTCAGAAACTGACAGGCCCTGGCATTAGCATGTTGACACAACCTTCTCTCCCTACTCAACAAAATATTTCCCTTTTGGTTTCCTCTTTGCTATTATATTAAGAGATTTTTCTGATCATATCCTGCCTTTGTCTCACAAGAAATGTCCTACTTTTTTATCCTTTTCTTCTTGTAGTTGAGGGGGGCTAGAGAATCAAGACTAAAAGTAAGGAAATAGCAGGGTTTTGAGCATCCTTGTCCCAGCCCCAAAGCTGAGGAAATAAAAATAAATGCTTGAAATAGCCTTAATTCTAGAGTTCACCAGCCATGGAGGCTGTTTTTCTTGTTGCTTTTGATTTTTAAAACATATAGCTGTGTGGCCAGGAGCATTCAGCCATTTCTAGATTATTCAGAGTAATGAGGAGAATGGATGGATTGCTCTAGTCCACAGATGAGCCAAATAATATGCAAGTCATATACCCATTCATAGCATTTGTTAACACTGCTTCTCTGCTCGGCTGCTGATTGAATTCTGTGTGCTTGTATAAATTATGTCAGAAATTATACTGCACAGTTGAGAAGACAGCTGTTGCTGCAGTGACATGACAGACTGGAACAATGAAGCTTTTGGTTTAAGTCAGCCAGGAAGATCCTTCTGAATGGTAATGTGATTGGGTGAGAACTCATAACCCATGCCTCAAGTGGGTGGGAGTTTTATCTCCATATTACTTTGCTCTCTGAAGGAATAAAAGGCCTTGATCAAGTGCTGGATAATTGACCATTGTCTCATGGGCATCTAAAAGAAAAGGATTATCAGGAAATAAATTTGTAACATAGGTAACCAAGGATAACAACTAGGGTAGACAAGAATAGGACAAAAATAGGCCAGAGTCCTTGAGGTGATCTCGGTCTCTTGATTTGCAGCTGGAGAAAATGATAGCCTATCCATGAAGCCAGTGTATGCCTCCCAGTAACAGTGAGCATAATGTAAGGTGTAGTGACCATATTTTTAAAACCAAAAATCTAGCATGTGAATGAAGAACATGACAACATGAGAAACCTGGGGCACATGGTTGCTGTGGTTATAGGTAATATTTAAGACATTCATCAAGATCTGATTTTCTTTTACCAAAATAACTCAAGTATTATCTACTACTCATCACCCCTTTAATACTCTTCACTCCCATCTCTTTCTGTCCTGAGTTTATTGAATCATGGTCTTGTACTGAGTGCTGCCAAAACAACTTTTGTTCTCTCCCTGCCTACCCGCAGCTGGTTCAGTAGGAATGTATGGAGCCAGAGGGCTATACTGATTTCAGCCCTCAGCACAAAGGAAACTAGATGCCTGCCTATGCCTCCAGCATGTGTTAGTGCTGAGTAGCTGTCCTCTCCCTTGGAGAATTGCAGCCTCAAACTGAAACCTGTTTCAAGGAGCTTTCTCCCCTGTGCAGTGGCCATAGGCTAAGCATGCTTAAATGTGTAAGTCTCAGGTGCTCAAAGTATATTTTTCCTGTTTAGTCCTCTTTCAAAACATCTTTCTATGCTGAATTTCTTCCAGTAATCAGCATTAAGTGATCTCCCTTTCTACAAGAGATTATTAGAGTTTTGCCCAGTAGTGTCTGCCAAGGACAGCTTAGCAGTTCTTCTGATCCCTGGACTGGGTAGATGGCCTTCATGTTAAGATCAACTTTTGGGAAAGTCAGCCTGGATGGAAGCAACCATTTTAAATCTGGAGAGCACCATATGGTTTTTTCTCCTTCAAATAGCAATCCAGTTTTTGTTTGCTATAAGCGTTTGGACCCATGGTTCTGACATTCAGAAGTCTTGGTAGTGCTTGGCTGTTTCTCAGCCATGTGTGCGTACTGCTTTTTGTTGCTTGTGAAAGGTCGGTTCTGTTCCCATAGCTTGGACAGTTATTACTCTTTTTCATTCCACCTGTAGTCACCCTGCAGCCCATTTTCCTTATATTCAGGCCAAATCAGAGGGCATTGAAGAAGGCTTTTGGGATTTTCATCTTGAGATCTGTGGTCTCACCTCACCTGAGGTACAGTGAGAGGTCAGAGGGAACTTTAGCCCACCTCACCTGAGGTACAGTGAGAGGTCAGAGGGAACTGCGTTGGGCTCAGGAGTGATTGTCCTCACCTCACCTGAGGTACAGTGAGAGGTCAGAGGGAACTGCGTTGGGCTCAGGAGTGATTGTCTCTGCCCTTAGGGTTCAAATTTGAGGGCCTTTAAATACTATGTTAAAATGACATGAGAACCCCATTAGATTTGAAATGAGGAAGCTTTCTCTCACAAATCAGGTTAAAGGAAAAGGTCATTTTGCACCCAGGACCCCATCCTTTTGGTTTAGATATTTAGAGTAAAAATTATGTTGAGGTCTGTACTTTTGTAATTGGACCACCAAGCATGCCTGTGGCAAGGCAGAGAGAGGAAATGTCTGGAGCCAGTGTATTAAAATTTCATGCTGGCTTTGCCTACTAATCATGAAAATTATGTTAAAAAATAGAGATATTACCAACTTAACACCCATACGCATATGCTCTGAATTGGGTACCCCTCCCACCCAATTTACATTGAACTGTCCAAATTCTACTCATATTAGAAAACATTAACATTTGTTTCATTCAACAAATATTTTTTGGCCTGGGGATACAAAGTTCAAAAAGAGGCCATCTCTGCCCTCAAAGAACTTTCACACTGGTGTGGGATGGACTGACCAGTAATAGTTCCATGTAATAAATGCTACAAATGAGTACAAATTTCTGATTTGGGGGCAGAGATAACTGACTGCTTTTGGTACAGTATGTGGCCCTACAGTAGGAGAGCGACTTAAACTGGTTCATATGTGGAAAGGACCTGTAACCTTGGGTGAACTTAGTTAATTGGCTGTAGAACACAACAAGGGCTTTATTTCAGGAGATAAATATAGCAGAGGGTTAGTTAGAAATGCCATTATCACCAAGAGAGAAAACAGGTGAGTGGAGATTGGGAACCCCTGATTTTGGTCCCTGGTTTAGACCCTGCCAAAGTATTTAGAGGTATAGTTAATTCTTACTTATGGAGAGCAACTATGTTGCAGATCCAGTTTTGTGGAGGATTTTTCATGATTGTGGGTTCTATAACAACATTTATTCCTCATGGACATTTTATCAGAGTTCCTCAGATCTTTTTCAATTTCTCATCCCTTTTGGAGGAATGAATATGAGGCTGGCTTTAAGCCTAAAACAGGGACGTACCTTCCAATGACAAGAGATTTGCTAAAAAAGAAGGCTTGGGCACATTCGTTAATACCTGAGCATGTACCCTGGGAGTATAGTTTGATTAGAAACTGTGAGAGGGTGATTTCTAAGCAGGGACTTGTGTCAATTATTTGGGAATCTCCAGTAATACACAGATCCTGGAGTCTCAGATTTAATCAGTCCAAGGAGGTCTAGGGTGAAGCTTAGCCTGGTTAAGAAACAGTCTGACCTTAAGAAAGTCCTCAATTTCTGACCCATGTGACCATAAGAAAAAGATGCTTATTTCTGCCTAGATAATTGAGAGTTGACTAGCTTTGGAAGTCAAGAATTCCCAGGATTAGCATAACTGTTTTGGAAAGTTAAAGCATGAAGTTCTTTGGATAGCTTCATAAAAACAATTCTAGTTCCTTTTTGCTTGTGCTGAATTTCTTGAATTTTAATCTACCTCATCCTGTCTTTTTAGAATTACTTCAGCTTGTTGCCACTTTAACATTATGCTTGACTTTGGTTTTCTAAGATGGAGTTTTTCGTATTCATGGGTAGTTTGTTCTCTTGCCTTTTTATCCTGGTCCTCATTTCACCTGACATTATCTCATATTGCTCCTCTATCAGAGAAGTGTTTTAAAATATTTTCAAGTCTTGTTTTGTGAGAAGAAAGTGATCTTCCAATGCTGTTTGTCTCTGAGGTCAGTAAGAAAAGGAATTAAAACAAGGTCGTGGGGGAGGGGTGGGTCCTGCACTGGAGGCAAAAGCTCACAAGGAAAGAGCCATTAATTAAGACAATTTCAAAGTCAACTGATTGTGGTCATTAATGTCATAATAGATCAAAACCTAATTATCACAGCCTAGGTAAGAGCCATCAGTATTAATCGGAAAATCTAATAGGAAACTATTATCAAGAAATTAGGCCAAATTGAATGCAGTGAACTTTTTATCTTGTCATTCCCTATTTTTTTTGGTGATGTCCCCTGGTACTGGCAGGTGTGACCCTAACAGTTAATCCAAGCCTAATTGGCCAGTTTGTCATGCTTTTTAAGGATTTTTTTTTAAGGAATTTCAAACATAGACTGAACCTGAATTGTCATTGCTGAAAGATCAATCTTGGACTTTCTAATCACCTGGACTTGTCCAGTGTGATCAGCAATCATTGAAAAAAAGTATATTTAGGTCTTGGAATGGTTCCTGGAACTAGAGTATCCCTGGTGAACATTCTACTGTGTGTGCTGATAAATCATTCTTCGAGCTTCTATTGTAGAGTCCTGTTGCACTGGCTACTGTGAGGGAATATCGAAAAAAAGGAGGGGCGTTCTGCCTGGAAATTCTTTGAGAACACCTGAAAAGAGAGTTTGATTCTGTCACAATACTCTTAAGGCTCAAGTCAGTGTTTTCCAGTTTCCAGTAGTGTTAGTATTTGATCCTAAACCAGGGCTGGCTGCCCCCATCCTCTAGATTTAGGATAAGGGACATAATGATTTCTACCAGAATCCAGAGTAAATCCAAAGGGGGGGAAAAGACATCGACTCTTTTTTTCTTTTGCCTTTCTTTTGTTATACTTCTGGCAGGAAGAAAGAATATTACAAGAGTCTGTATGACTAGTTACAGAGAATACTTCATCCCCTCTCCCTGAACAAAAAAGCAGGGGTCACCATTTATATCCTTAATCTTGAGTTGTTTATGAAGACGCTGCAACTGTTGAAATTGAGCTGAGGCAGAGAGGTTGGAAAGATGATGTCCTCTGGGTATCGTGAGGAGGGACATGAAGCAGCAGGGGGGTGTTTGGTGGTGCTAGGATGCCTATGCTACCAACCCTGCAGCTCTACAAGAGCACTACCAAGACCGCTACTGGGGAAATGATTCTTATTGTTTGTGCTTAAGTGTGGTGTTGCTTCTTTCTGGGTTTTAGGAATTTGGGTTACTTAATACAAAACTTTTAAGAAATCAGTGTGACTTAGTCCTTAACCTCTTATGATAAAGTAAATATTTCTTTATAGAAGAATTCATGTCCTTAAAGTTTAAAATGTAATTTTATTTTCAGAATATCCATTAACACATGACTTTCAGAAGCAGTTTGTTTCTCCAAGTTCCGTCACACTATGCTATGTAAACAGTAGACCCTCGGTTTATACTTGTGGGTTGATTGAGTTCATCTAGTTTGCAGAGTGAGGCATACCTACCAACTTCCTTTTGCTCTTAAGTGCACTCTGAGAAGTAAAATGCTGTAGGAAGTGGAATAAGAATTGAGTGGATGCTGACTCTGTGCCAACCTCCTCAACTGATTCATAATGGCTGACCTTGGGCAAGTCACTCCTTTCAATGCCTCAGTTCCCCATCTGTCAAATGGGGGTAATAATACTGACCTACCTCACAGGGGTGTTGTGAGGCATTGTAAATCAAAGTTGATAGAATAGGGTCCTCTATAAAGGATGCCTTGAGCCGAAGTTTAAACCTGGCACAGGCTTTAGACCTCACTGAGTTGTCTCCAAGAGTGGAACTACTTAGTGACCTCGGCAAATTCTCTGCC